AGGAGCGAGGCTACATGAAAGAGTCCCTTTGAACTTGCCACTAGAAGGCAGCCCTTAACCTCAAATGCCATTGCCAGTGGATATACGGGGGGATGATACAAATTTGCAAAAGGAATGCAAGAGGAGATTGAACTGGCAAAAGCTACCTTGAACAAAGCCGCAAACAAAGAAGTTCCCGGTCAAAGGAGTGTCATCGTAAGGGTTGATAGTGATCCAAACCCAAAAGAAGTTGTCACCAAAGTAAGCACGGTGGCATTTATAAGCAGGTCGAATAGGTGGGGATTCTGTGGAGTCGATCCCTATCAACCGAATGAGGTAATAGGTGGGGATTTTGTGGAGTCGATCCAATGCCGTCTTTTGGCCAAACACTACTTGCCCCGCTTGACTTGCGCTATTTTCCAAACCCCCCTGGTGCTATAGTTACAGCCTACAAACCACACCCTGGTCCGCACTTCGTTTCCCAGGTGTTCTATCAAAGCAGACTCTTGAATTCCAGGTCTTGCATTTCTTGCCATTAGTTTTCCCCGTAACTATACAGCAAGTTCAGGACCGATCTCCTGCTCCTAATCGAATCGTACCATAAAAATCATGCTTTTCGTCTTCACACTGGCTAGCCAATTCTTCCAGCTGCCCGGGATTTTTTCAACTAAAATCCATGATCCATCTACGTGCTAGTCTTTGAAAAACCTACTCGCTGCCTCATTCGCAAGACGGCTCGTAGTGCCTGGTATTGATTCCAAGGGGAGAAGGAGGTTGTGATAGGAAGCTTTTTCTTCTAGGAGGGCGAGTCAAGAAATTCTTGAAGAAATGTTACAGACCAAGGGCGTAGCGTGTGTACGTGAAGTGAAAAAAATTACATGAATGCTATACGTAGAAGAGCAGCATACTGCTTTATCATCTTCTAGTAACGACCAGTTGCCTATGGATTCTTTTTCATCCTCAATCGCAGCAGAGCCATCTCTGCGCTTGAATGGTTCTCCCTAGCCCGATTTAGAGAAATAACTTTTCCTTTGCTTGCGAAAAAACTTTAAGTGGCTGGATGGTTGGTTGACAGGTGTCTAGCTAACAAAGAACTCGACAAAAACTAGTACAGTAGTGCCCTAGGCTATTTCAAAGGAACATCGCATACCGATCGTCACTAGGTCGCATACCCAGTTACAGGTCAATTTCCACTTTAGTTATGAAGTTTAGGGTGTTTATATGGAGGTTTCTAAACAATAGGAGAGTAAGGTGTCTTTTCACGAAACCACAAGGGGGTTCCTTGTATTTTACCCTTTTTATTTTAGAATATTTTCTCATTTGCATGATATTTTCTATTATATTATCCCCTACCCTCTATATGTGTTAATCATATCATTTAGAATTGTATCTCATTTAAGAAATCGCAAAATAAGTTAGTTCATTTGCTTGTCTAGATTAGAAGAATTACTCTTTAAATATGGGAAATGGGTAATTATAACTTTTTAGTTTAAATATCCGGTTAATCCCTGTATAAGAAAATTATGTCACGAGTTTTTGTCTCCCATACCCATCATATTGCATCCCTTCTTCCTTGATCACTTATATCTATATATACTTTAATTTTCTTTTCTTTTGAATTTCATTTTTGCATACTCGTGACCCTTTCAAGAGATTATTTTGGCCTTCGCAATTAATACGGTTGATATCAATTAAATCTTGAATGGATATTTTATCCCTTTTGACATTTTCTTTAAATCTAAGTTTGCATCCATATAGCAAATATTGATAAATTTAAGGGTTAGATTAAAGAAATTTTAATTAAACCACGCAATTAACTTAGACTAGGTTGAAAAGGTGGTTTAGATATGAGTCGATCGAACCTTTGCTTTTTCTTTTTTCAATCGTGACTCCCAAACTCATTTTCTCTTATTTTTCAAGATTTAGAGTTGTCTAAAAGGGTTTTATTTTATTTTATTTACTTTTTATTTTAATTTTGTTAGAAAAATATTTTTTTTGGGTGACTTGGTACACCCAAACTCAATACCAAGTGGCGACTCCTATTTTTCTTAAAAATCCTTTTAGACTAAATTTTGGACCCAAACTGTCGCATTCTTTAAAATTCCACTCTAGGTCATTTTTTACTTATTTTTAAATAAAAATCACATCTTTTGTAAATACTTATTTTCATCGTGAAAAAATTGGGCGCGACAATCTCCACATTTTTCTTTGCAATGCAAAAGAAACTGAAACGATAGCTTGATAAGGCGGAGGCCCCTGTTGCAGTAGGTAAAACCTCCGAACTCGCTGATTTGATCGCAAAACAGATGGACCTGAAGTTTGAACTTGTAAGGTTGGAGGAGAAGGTCGAGTATTGCAACCGCCGATTTATGGAGGTAAAAAGGCGATTTTCTACCGTCAAATCCCAATCTGCCCCCAACTCATCCCCAGACGAATGCCCATGTCAACCCAATTCCACCCCCATCTCTGCCGCTAACCCAACTCCAAACCCAACCCCAATCCTATCCCCATCCCAATCCCCAACCGCGACCTTAATTCATTATTGTATAGGTTTGCAGAAAGTTGGATTCATTATATTTCTTAAGAAGAGAACTAAAACTTTGTGAAAGTGAGTCTCAATTGTATAGTAGTTCTTGGTTAGTTGGTAATAATTATAATATAGTGAGAGTTAACTAGGAAAGTTATAGAACTCTTTAATTCAACTAAAGAGTGTTTAGGGTGAACAAAAAATGATCATTCTTATGTACAAGGTGGTTAACAACACCATCAATTGAAGAGGATATTAGATTGGAGTTGACTTCAAGTTTGGAAGAAATATGAAAGTTTTGATTTGAATTTCTATCTCATTCTTTTATTTTTGTTACTTAATTGTGCAATTTTTATTATTCTACATTTGTTTTATAATTGTGAATTTGTGCAATTAGTTGGAGTGCTCTTATTGAGTGAAAACTTGTTTTATTTTTTGTGATAAACCTTATTCACCCTTTCTTTTACATTGCACTTGAACCTTACAAAATCTTTAACAAATTTTTAAAAATACTCCAACAAATTTAAAAATTTAAAACATATCAAATTACATCTATAGTATCAAGTTTTTGATAAATAATACTATAGTAGACTATTTAAACAACATTTTCAAAAAAACCTAATCCATTCAGGCCCGAAATTTTCAACATAAATAAAATCCAGTACTTCCATACATACTCAGACAATACCTTATAAAAAATGAGGACCTAGTAATGTTTAATTATTATCAAGTTAGCGTGCCAACTTCTGGGTGGACCCAACCCGATTCATTTACATTTGTGTCGTTAGTAGATCGACTGAATAATGATTCATTTTTGTTCAAATTATATTAAACCTATCAATTTCAAATCGTATTTGAGTCGGATTGTCATGTCATACCAAAACTTTTCACCTTTAAAGATGGAAAGATAAGAAATGCACTTTCCAACTTAACGTGTTGAAGAAAGACAATTAACAATGAGGCAAATCGACTATCACAACCACTTGTTATCTTTTATAATTTCTAGAGATTTTGATTTCTCTTCTTAAAACAAATTATGAGTTAAACAAATATTGTTGTGTGAAGAGGACATAGAAAAGATTTTGGGTAGGGGAGGGTTTTTTAGCTCGAAATCAAAACAACATAACAGAACTTTCTAAATCTCAACTTGACAATTTCTGATATACACGACAACATGACTCGAATACAACCCAAAATTAATAGATTTTAACACAATCTAAATTTTAATAGGCCATTATTGGATCAACCTATTGGTGACATAAATGTCAGTAAGATAGGTTGGGTCAACCCACGGGTTGATCTAGTAGCCCGATAAAGTGCTTACTTTATAATAATAATTAAACACTATAGAGGCCATTTTGAATATTTAGTAAAAACTAACAACAATCAAATTCGGTTTGAAGATTTCAATTAGATGTTTTAAAAACTCACAGGTTTTATATCTTATATATGGAACTATGTGACTATATTTCTAAAAGATTAATTGGATTGCATTTTTCTAGAGAGTTTTTGGAGAAAGTACTTTTTAGGATGTGATATATGTGAGATAAAAGATGATTAAAAATGTGTAGAAGAAATATTCACAAAAAATGATGAAATTTTTCAAAAAAAAAAAAGGGTTATCCAAATGGGGCTGAATTTGTAACTTAAATTATGTCTATAAAGTTTCATTATTTATTTTTTTTGAATGTTTTGAAAATTTTAAAGTTTGTGTTGACTATATATTTCAAAAAAATTGTCATATATTTTAACAAGTGCAATGTTGAATGGATTGTATGATCAAATGAGTTAAAATAAGTGATTAAAATACTAGACTATTTCTAGCATAGATTACTAGGTTGATTTGACAAAATAATACATCATATGAAAACTATTTTAATCGTATAAAACATTTGATGAATTACACGGGTTAAGTTGGATCAACCTGTTAATAGCACAAGTTATGACATAACATGAAAATCTAATGAATGAGATTTTCTAACACGAATACAATAATTACATGACCTGACCATTACTACTAAGGGTTCTATCGAACTGAGTCAAGTTCGAATAGCATCATGCTCGAATTCGAGGTCGAACTCAAATGAGTACATGACATTAAACTCGAACTCGACATAATGGAAATTAAACTCGAGGTCGACTCATTTGAGTTCGAATAAATTGCAAGCCCTTGTCCAACTTGAGCTATTTGAGCTCGGGCTCGAGTTTTATTGAGTATTGTTTCATATAAATTTATTAAAATATAAATCCATAATAATCATTTCATAATTAAAATATACAATATATAAATAATAAATATTAATGTTCAAACTCAACTCATTATACTCCGTGTGAGTAGCTCGAACTCCATCTTAAATTTAGTTCGAGTGTTTGACCAAGCTGCTTGCAAATTAATGTGAGCAGTTTGGCTCACCAAAACTCCTTATTGCTTCCCCTACTTTTACGATTCTTCCAACTCAAACGGATGGTTTAAGAGAACAACTATGTCAAGCACTGACCAAAACAATAAAAACCTACCGCTCCAATTACTAAATATGTGACAATTACAAAATTCAAAATTAACACGGAAAATGTCTTCCCCATGGCATTACAATCGTTTAATTTCTTCCATCTAAGTACGTTGCATTAACTTTTAATACTCGTTCAATACAACAGACAGTTCCACTCCCCCATCAACAAAATAGACATGAGAGAGATTTCAACTGGTATGCACGGCGTCCTACTATCATTAATTCCAGTCTTCCGAGGATCTTCTCTAGGCAAAACAAAACTCATGATACAACATACAAGATGCCCTGACGCCGAGACACCAAAATGTCAGCGTCAGGCTGGTACTGCAATTTTTAATTAACTTGCAATTCCTTCATTCCATCTTTCTTCTTCGGTTTCAAAGATTTTTGCCCATTTAACTGCTTGGAAGAAGTTCCAACTAACAACAGTCGAGACATTACATAGGCTAAGAGCTCTTCACGGTGGGAAAATGTGAAATCCAAATGGGCATACTCAAACTCACTGTATGATACCTCCACTCCTGAATCTTTCATCAACCTATAATGCATTTTTATCATTGAAGGCCGAATTACCCTGTCCTTCCGGCCAGCAACGAGGTCAACAGGAACATCGATTAAGCTGTAATACTCCCCCAAATCCAATGGTTCCGGGGAACCATATACCTCCATGTTGGCAGCAGCACTCCCATAATCAAACATTTTAAATTTCTTTGCCCGCTTCATCTGTGCCAAATGAAGTGCCACTCGGAATGAGACACCTGGCATGTCATTCATATTGTAGTGTGGTAAACCCAGTACTCCCACCCAATTTGAACTGTCCCCGCCCACCACATAACTTATGAGTGTTTGAACCAATCCCCCAACTGCAGGTAAATTATGAAAATCCCTAGCCAACTTGTTCAGAAGCATGCGGAAAAACCAGGTAGGTATGTAAAAGGCCGGAACTAGGGGGGCCAGTATCGGGGCCAACACGAGGAATAGGTATTCCATCAATGTGAACACCACGGTGGAATCATGATGGAAGCCAGCTGGTGATAATAGGATCAACCTTGAAAGTCTGTGGGGCTTCTCTTTAATCCTTTGTGTTATTACGTACGTCAATATGGCAGCTCCTCCCAGGCTGTGACAAATTGCACATAGTTTGTAAGGCTGAATGTTATTTGTCCCTCCCTCCTGATCCGATTGGATACACTTCAGTTCAGAAACTTTAATCTCATTAATTTTCTCTATCATCGCAGGTATATCATCTGTACCATGCTCATTGATGGAGAAAGTCCAGTACCTGCAAATGTTTAGTAATTCAAATAATAAAAGGGCAGTCTCTGATTCAAGTACCATATATCTGCTTGAAATTTTACACGAAGTGGAAAAGATTCAACACTAGCTCTTTCTTTGTTAATGTAATTGTAATTTTAATGCACATCAGGGTCCCAGATGAATGAATATAATCTAAATGAGCCACTTACTGTCGTGAAGAGATACTTCTGTTTACATGCCCTCTGGAAACCAATCCACGAAGGTTCCCTAGGAAAACATCATATCCTGACAAGTGATGATATCAATATTATTCCCCACAATAAATGAGCTAAATTAATCAATACTGACGGGAGATTTGGAAGATACAAGTCCATAAGTAAAAGTAAACAGGGCAAACCTTGATCAAAGGCTGCAAAAGCTGGAGAACCAACAACACCATTGGACACCCAACTGCAAAGGGAAATAGTGGTTTAAAGACCAAGTTGAACAAAAGAACTACAAACTGCTCAACCAGAGAGAGAGAGCATGTGCCACTTGGAGTGGGAGGATTCACCAAGCATCTTTCATCCATATCTCTTAAAAACATGACTTAGGCACTTCCTTAAAATCCTATGTCAACAACTTCCCTCCTTCATACAATCTCGTCTAACTAACAAGAGTTTGGCAAATTAGTCATTGCTTCACAAACTCATTCAAAATACATCTTTTGCAATTTTGAGCAGAAGGTCTAATTTTGACAAAGCAAGACAAGAAAAACTTTTTTCCAATTGAAACTGCAAGGAAGGTATTATACAACTTTGTTTACATGAAAGTACAGGGAAGCATTTATAATTAGATTTGAGACATTTCTACCATACACTCCTGTATTAATAGCACATACAATCATGGATAAAACTCAAACTACCAAAACTCATCTACATGTTTGCACGTGAACAAAACTGATTGCTAAATTAAACTAGTACAGAGAGATTTTTCAACAGCAAGAAAACTCTTCAACAACATGAACCTGACTATAAATAAGACTCACCCCATTGAAGAATCAAATATGCCATGCTGCAGATAAACAACCTTGCGAGCATCTCGTCTGCACCAAATGATTGCAAACATGAGTCCATAAACCAGAATCTAAGAGAAAAAATATCTAGTGCTGAAGAGAGAAAAATCAGAACCTTGGAATTCTTTCCAGAAGAAGAACATATCCATCAGCAGTGACCACATGAATAGCCTCATAAGGATAGCTGTCACAGAAAAGAAGCAAATGACAATCAGAAGAAGAATGGAGAGCAAACATGACACGAGAGTTGGCTTCTAGAGAGCTCAATTCTAGTAAATTAAGGCATCACTCTTAAGGCATTCCTGACCCCTCTCAGGTCTCAGTTCAGTTCGCTTAAGAGTATTATAGGCTTCTTGGGTGGCACGTCATACTTTGAAAAACAAAGATCATGAAGAGGATTTAATCTTCACTATGACAATAAGTAATATTTTCTCAATAAAAGCAAAAGACAAAAAAAGATAAAATAACTTTTTGGTTCCTGAAACTCTAAACTAATGACGGAGCTACTAAGTATTGGATATACCAATAAGCATACAAGAAATCAGATCACTTGTGCATTCTCATAAAGAGCAATCCAAAAACTTCATGGTGCCGTTATAGCCTCATAACAAGATGCACCATGCTTATCTAGTGTTAACAATCTCAGCTTTACTTCCTTGCCATAAAGCCATAACCAAGACAGATGTCCAAGAAAGAAACTCACAACATATGAAAGCAGTATAAGAAGCAACAATAAAGATAAGAAGGAACAAGTGCAATCGATTATGTGATGATAATAACAACAGAGTTTGATGTTTGAGTGCACAAATTTTGCAACACCTTAGATCATGGCTTCAGTTACTAATCATTTTTAATCTTATAAGAGAGAAAAAATTCTTAAGTTTAATTTTTGGCACCAGGAGCAGGCTCATAAATCATCAACATGAAGTAATGCATGCACACAATCAAAGCACAATCTTCATAAAAAAGTTCAAGCTTTTTACAGGATAATAGAGAGGAGAAGTTTACAGAGCTTTATCTACAAATACAAGCAGAAGAGAGTTTCTTTTATTGGTTATAACAACAGAAGCAAATGCTTTTCTTTAATGCAACTTTTTTTTTCAATACAACTTTTAAACTCTGCATTTCCCTAAGAACAGGAACAAACAGACACATATGGCTATAAGGTATACATGATCACGAGGATAGTACATTGAGCAGTTAATTTTCATACAAATGCAGATTAAAAAGAAGCACCAGAATGGAGTAATCTCTATTATTCTTACCCAAGCTCAGTGATTACATCTTGACATGTCCGAGCATCTGTATTAAGGGAATGATCAAAAGTTGTCTTCCTTTCTGTCGGAGTAGGATCATTGTCTGCGAGAGTTGCAGTTTGAACTGAGCCACCTTGAGAAAGACAATCTCCAGAACCAGTATTTTGAAAATAAAACCATCTGATAACTCCTCTTAGAGTGTCGAATGGTGCAAGAAGACAACGTGCTGCCTTGTGGAAAATATCGAATATAGCCTCTATGGAGATCTCAAATGCAAGATGGAGATCCTATAAGAACATGTTGGCATATCAATAGCTATGTCCATAAAGGTTAATCGAGAAGGAGAAGAAAAACATGCTTAAACTATCTCATGGCAGACTTAAGCTGTTTTTCTTTGTAGTCATTCTTACGAATTTTGATGAGAAGCATTAGGAAAATGTTTTTATGAGTTTATATTGAAGAACTATAGATCTCCAGGTAAATACACATAGTCCTGTAATTGCTGACAACACTAATTTCCCATTTTCACAAAGTCAAGAATAGAGAGAAATTGTAAAGCTAATAGCATTGAACCTCAACAACTCCACGCCTTCGATCAGTTGCACGTTGAACAAAATGGTCCTTGAGTGTCTGGAGTCTCCTAGGCGAATGCAAATGAGAGGGTTGATGATTTCTTGGGGTACTTGGTGCACTATTGCTCCCATCAGAAGACAGACTAAAGAGCCAAAATGGTCCCCCAAACAAAAATTTCAAAGGGAGCAGAAAATACATGAATAGGCACCTGATCCAAGTCATCTGATGCCTATCATGCTTTCTGAAACTGCTTGCTCTAGAGGTACGAGAACTTTGAGAGAGTGGAGATCCAGGAATGTCTTCATAATATTCTTCATCAGATGAATTATCTAAGCTTGAAGTTGTATCAGAATCCATAGAAAGATTGTGGATGAACTGATTAAAAGATGACGCACCCCTGAATCATCAAGAAGATAAAAAAAAAAAAAAAGGTCAATAAAATTTATTTTGGGGGGGGTAAAAGTCAAAAGTTAAGATCTCCAACAACATCAACAGCAAGGTTTTTCACATGAGTAGTTCAAATTCCGGGCCGGGGGGGGGGGGCACAGAAATAAACAATGAGAAAAAACAACAATTAAATGATTTTCTAAAAAAAATGACAACTAAGCATTTTTAATCATCAAATCTTTATCCTCCAATACTTAAAGCATCCAAACTATAAAAGCAGTTCAGGAATAAAAAATTAGAAACGTGCATATGCAGCAGAAAGACATGTAGCAAGATTTTTTTTTTAATTTTGGGTAAGCTAAGTGGCAGGACATTTAGAACTTACAAAAGTGACAATTAGATTCAAAAGTACTCATTGAAAGAATAACCATGGATAAAGTTTAGCAATGCCACTATACTATCCAAACGAGAATTTCTTAGTACACAAGAAGCAGATATGACAAAAACAATAGCACTGTAAGTAAATTATTGCCTGATTTCCACTATAATTGTACGGTTCCAAAGCTTATACATTCCAGCACTATCACTAACATGTAAACTATAAGAAGTACTTAATGTTTGTCCAACTTTTTCTTTTTCAGTGCACTCAAGGTCCTCCTTCCAGTCATGCTATTGCCGGTTCATAGAAGTTTTCAAGTTCAGAATGAAGATGGGCCCTATGAAAAATAATAGAAAAGAAGCGAAAAAATATCCTTCAACCTAAGAGCAAAAGAATCCTCTGAACAAAAAAAAAGAAAAAAAATTCCATGTTACTTTGTTAACAGGTCTATGTAGGAGCATGATATAAAGTACGCAGCTAACTTTTGCAAGGCATATCACATACGAAATAACAAAGCGAAAAAACAAAAGACTTAAGAAACTAATCTGACGGATCAGAACTTACTCTTCCATCCAACGTGGGAGCTTAGGCGCACGAAAAGTTGGCCTGAGTTCCCAACCATGAATACCTTCGAGAATAGAAGCCTGCCCAGGTAGAATAGCCAGCAGAAGTGCTGACACTTCATTTATCAGCCTCACTATATTGTTCACTGACTCATAAGTAAAGGTCTTCACTGACCTGACCAAATAAAGATACCAACAGAAAAAATGTAAATGCTCTGTAGTTTACACAAGATCATAATGCTCAATTAAGTAACCAAAGGATCTTTATAAGCAACATATAAAAATCATGGCAGACTTGTCTTATAGAGCTGCCCAAAACAAAGTCATCCTAGCGAAACACAAGTAAAAGAGGTTATTGGGAAAAAAATTTTCAAATGAAACTAGTTTCACTAGAAAAGGTCCTGCACTAACTGGATCCCTAGCAACTAGTAGAGGCAGATGGAAGAGCATCTGATCCTGGATTAAAAAGTACAGGGAACTTTCAGGTTTCAGCTTTTCATACGTACTTAAGGGCTTTATGTTAATGTTTCCCTGCTCAAGACGATGTACACTATACCTATTCGAGGTCAGAAAAAGCACTAGATCATTTTTCAAAGTTCAAAGCTCACCCCCTCTAACTAAATTTTCTAGTTCCTTCTATGATGATGATATACAAAAGAGAAGTCAGAAGCATTTTCACGCGTCAACCTGAAACTGGAAAAAAAACCCATATGAGCCCACTTCTTCTGCTCTTCCTTTTTACATGTCATCTGAGTCACATGGTAACTACAATCTAAATCATACTGTTTGTTACCTTTAACTGACCTTTTTTCTCCAACTTTACTTTCGACTATCTAACCTAGCCCTCACCTGAGCCGAGGCATCATGCACTTTGCTGCATAAGAAACTCAACCTTTCTCCTTGCTTATACCACCATAAGCCAGCAACAGAATTCTCATATCTCTTTGCCACTGGATACATCAGTTCTTAGTTCCCAATAACTCTGTCACTACATCGCATACTCATGGTAATCCTACAAAACTTTCGCCCCCAAATTTTGATAGCATTAAATTCATCACATAAAATCCCTAAACCCTCACCCCTCGCCCAAATTCTAAACACATCCAACAGGGATACAACATATCCAATCTTACATAGTCAATGTGTAAAGACCTTTCCTTTCTTCTCACTGACACAAAATCGAGCTCAAGAGACTTGCTTCTAATTTTTTTTCCGGAACAATCCACACACCAAAAAATATATATATATCACTAGAATTACTTACCATTTTCCAAGTAATCCACAATCAAATAAGCTAAAAGCATACAGAAACAGTACAAATCATTTTTTCCACTTCACTAATCACATCTTCAGGCAGGAAAAATACTGAAAAACACAAAAATCAATACTTAATATCAAAATTAATGCAGGTAAAATAATCACGGCTCCATTAACGACAGATATCAACCAATAGTCAAAATCAAGCCGAAATACGGTGGCTAATAAACTCTTCCAGTAATAACTCAATCAAGAAAACAAAAAAAACATTAGCTCAAAAAAAAAAAAAAAAAAGAGTAAACGAAACAGAAATATAACTAAATATACATGTCTACCTATTAGAAGTAAAGAGCGAAAGAAAGAAATGGGCAGCACTCACTCTTTGGTAACAGCGAGGACGTTGTCAACCAATTGTTGAATCGGCATCGTCTCTTAAATCTTCACCTAACTATTATCAATTAATTCCCAATCTTGAATTAGGTTTAATTAACCTCGACAAGATTCAAAAAACTCGCATCGAAATCCAAGGGGAAATAAATCACAACAACCGCATCCAATTTTTTTTTTTCTCAAAGAAGGAATAAGCAATTCCTATATTTCTTCGTGAATATTTTTGAAACGTGGTGCAGAAGCAATTCCTGTCGGGAGTTGGACGAAATACATACATGCGCGGCAACCGCTGCCGTTTCTTGTCAGTGTCATAAAGTCATAGTAATTTTTTTTTTTTTTTAAAGTCATAGTAATTAGCAGTTCTTTTTTTAAAAAATATTTTGGAAGTCCACGCGGGGATTAGTTATGGGTGAAGGTGTTGCGCTGTGGATGATGGTGTGGTGGTGAGGTGGCGATGATTCACAAGTATTCGATTATATCTGTCTGCCCGGCTTGTTCTTCACTCCTTTGGGAAAACGTATCGGCCTTTAAATTGGAATCTTCTGTCGGTGGTTGTTGGATTTCTTTTTGGATCTTTTAGCCACTGCTCATTTGGATGCGTCAAATCACCTGTCCCAAGTGTTCCGTCCGTCCCCACCGTAACAGTTAAACAAAGACGAGACAGAATGGGACGGACGAAATTCGAGAGGGATGATTTTTCAAGCTTGGTTTGTTTAGATAGTAAACTTATCCAATGTATAGTAATTTATTTGAGATATTTTTATTTTAACACTTTTTGTGATGTGATATATATGAGATAAAAAAATAATTAGAAAGATAAAAAAGTGTATTGAAAATTATAATGATGATGTAAGCAAATATATTTGAAAAACTAATCAGCTATTCTTCGCTTGTATCATAAACACATTTTTCAACCAACTTTTTTATATTTTCAATCACATTTTTATCTCACATATATCACATCACAAAAAGTGCTATAGCAATTATTCCAAATAATATTTCAAATAATACTCTATCCAAACAAACCTGTAATTTGAGATATTAAGACAATGTTTGGATTGTAATTTTTCAAAATTTTTATAAAAAATATATTATAGCGATTTAATATATGTGAGATAAAATAATGATTGAAAATTACGTTTACGAAAAACGTAGAAATATTTTTGATAAAAATTTTCTTTTTAAACTATAACACATGAAAAGTTGAGGGCCTTTTTTTCGCCGTACTAGGAACTAAAAATTAAATATGTAATTAAACAATAGTTGGTTGAAGAAATGATAGCAGTGGTTAAAAAAATCAAGCTTGGGACACCTTAAACGATTTCGCTAGAAGATTCAGGGGTAGTATTTAATCATGATAATGATAATTATGTAAAATTTAATTTTTACACAGTTATCTATATTATATTATATACAAAGTTTGAGGAAGGAATTTAAAATTAACATTAGTATTAACATTTATCATTATTTTATAAATTTTCATTTTTACCGTTATAAAAATTATTTTTATTTTAACTACTTATAACTATCCATGACTATTTTTTATTTTAACTATTTAAATATATATTTTCAACATAACTATTCCTAAACATTATAACTAATGATATAAAATTATTTTACAAAAATTATTAAAAAATTATAAAATCAAACGCTAACAATATATACACATTTACTGTAAATTTTACTCTAACTTTAATATATCTTTTTTAGAAATAATTCTTCATATCTTTTTCCTTGACCCGATTGTGGATTGAAGAGGTTGCATTCAAATTCAAGCGGCCCAAATCCAGCGGAATCTTCTACATACTTGGCACTTAGGCTACGTTCTGCCGAGGATAAAAAAACACGAAGTTGTCTACTTTTATGGTCGGCATTTTCCCGCGTGGTGGTTCCTCGCAGTCGGTGACAGTGACATTGACCAAACAGGATAGAGACTAGAGATTTTTTTTTAATTTCTTTTTCTTCTTTCTATTTAAAAAAAAAAAAAAAAGAACAAGAAGAAGAGAGAGAGAGCACGGAAGCGCTGGAACGATAAAAGAGGCGGACGAAGCACTGATTACACGGTATTTGATTGTTGAATTAAGAGTTACTTCAAAACACGGCGCATGAGCCGTCGTTGGTCAGAAAAAAGTGCAGACTTTTCTTTTCCATCTAGAAGGAGCATCCACACATTTTTACTTTAGTACTTGGTTGAATTACTACTACATGAACGGATGAACAGCACCCCACCGAATAAAGGGACATATTTGGGTTCTTCTTTGCATATATATAATGTTCTCTTTGCATGTTTAGGACTGCCCAGTTTACCTGAATGTCTCCTAAAATTGATATACTCAAAGATGAAAATTCCGGAACTGAGGATGTAGCAGCTGGCTGCAAACTAAAATTGATACACTCAAAGATGAAAATTCCTGAACTGAGGATGTAGCAGCTGGCTGCAAATGATACGTTGGCTGGCTGTGGCTGGACAACTTATGATATCAGAAAATTGCTGGTCTCATTTTCATCTTTCGAACCTTGAATGAAAGCGAATTCAGAAACCAAGGGCAGGTGATCACTACCAAATTTCTGCAGAATACATAAAAATTATCGTCAAGTACCAAATTTCTGCCATGTCTTGGTAAACAGGATGTAGCAGCTGGCTGCAAACTAAAATTGATACACTCAAAGATGAAAATTCCGGAACTGAGGATGTAGCAGCTGGCTGCAAACTAAAATTGATACACTCAAAGATGAAAATTCCTGAACTGAGGATGTAGCAGCTGGCTGCAAATGATACGTTGGCTGGCTGTGGCTGGACAACTTATGATATCAGAAAATTGCTGGTCTCATTTTCATCTTTCGAACCTTGAATGAAAGCGAATTCAGAAACCAAGGGCAGGTGATCACTACCAAATTTCTGCAGAATACATAAAAATTATCGTCAAGTACCAAATTTCTGCCATGTCTTGGTAAACAATGCCCAATTCTACCATATTTTTATTGGACAAGAAGTAAAACCCATTGACTCGGGTTGATTTCTGAAGATTAGACGTACTTCATTCTCAAGGTTCTTATACAGAGCTGAAGAGTTCTCTTTACCTGGCATGGAAGCCCACCTATCTTCTTGAGGACATTGATTGGTAAAGTATCCATGACTTTGGTGGGTACAATACCATCAGAGAACCTACATAAACCAATAGAAAGATGTTCGACAAATTATTGCTAAACAGAATCACAGGTAAAAGTAAAGACCTTTACATACCACAAATAGTCAACTGTTCCAAGAAATTTTGAGTGGTATGATGTGGCCAAAGGTTCACCATTGGAGCTTCGTGTTTCTGCAGAACCCTATAAAGTAGCAGACTCGTGCATAGGTGGAGTGATCCAAAGCAAAGGTGGAAAAACTCTCTTCATGCAATAGAAACTCGTACCTTCACCATGGCATAGGAGCTCCTGAGCTTCAACGGATTTCTAATAACACGGCTATCAGTGCCTCCAGTTGCACTTTTGATCTCTTCATTTGTCCAGCTACTGTGCAAGAATCTGATATGATTGGCATTTAAGGATAAACACAGATATCTGGAAAGTTAGAGAGCTGTAACGTGACATTCTTCCTTTCTCTTCATATAGGTTCCAAATGTATCACCAAACGAAACAAGATGTAAGCATTTATCAAACTACAACCACAAAAGAAGCCTTAGACCTCCGTGAACATAAAGAAACAAGAGTTACTGAGACATGGAGAACTGCTGTCGCCTAAACAGTCCAAATTCGGGTATCTTATCTATGATTATGTTGACACAGGAAAGTGACAGCATGAATATGCTTCCACAAATTCATCTTCCTCCCCTCTTTCCTTCCTTCATAGGTAACTTATACAAAGGCATCAAATTGCCATTTTCAAGAGATGAAAAAGAGATATTTCAGTAGTCCTATTCTGCCCTAGACATGATGAATCCTTTCCTTTTGTTCAAGCTTTATTCTAGGATTCCAGTACATATTTGATAAAATTTCTCCCTCTGCTCTCCAGCTAACTAGTGTTGCTTTGCATAATTGTCAGCTTGATCAGTTATGACAAATAAATAAAAAAGAAAAATATATAAAAGATTATCTTAGACTATTATCAAGACGTGCAAAAGAAAGGCTGTTTCTTTAAGTGTCAGATCATAATGACTCTGCAACTCCATAATATGCCAAGGCAGGTTCAAGTAGCTTGTTGAAACTTAAGTAATGGAATAGAAATCATGAAATTTTATGTACCGTTACGTGAGATAACAGAAAAAAAAATTTGAATTACCTGTCCATCCATACAAAGAGAGAACCCTGTTCTCGTCTAATACCAAGAGCTTGAGTTGGACGGCAATTTTTCTGACCAGACAAGTCTCCTCTGTCATGTAGCATGATGTTCAACTGCAGCAGGAAATAAACACTACTTATAAAGCACTATCCAGTACATAAGTTCTGTATTGAAACGCAGAAATTGGACTCCACAATTTTACCTCAGATGACGAGAAGAATGTGTAGATTGCACTCTGTCAAGAAGTACAAGTCAAAATCATCAGTTAGTGGCTCCAAAGAGATGATACAAAACATGCATGATGGATTTTGTGCTCCAAACCTGGGGAGTGCTATTATAATCACCAGCGAGCACAACTGGTGTGTTTCCCCACTTCTTGGAGAGGATGGATGCCCTTGATAAAAGAAAACGAATCTGAAGAACAGGATAATACAGGAAAAAAGCACATCTAGGCATCAAAACAACTTTACAAGAAGCCATAGGTATAAAAGAAATAGCGAATTATTGCTCACAACAATTAAGTGATGTTTGATTACTTTTTAACTGTTTTCTAACTCAAGAGATGCACATAAAAGGATCAAGGATAATGGAGTAATTATGAACTCTCAGTATGCTATAAGGCTAAACTCACTTGACCAAGTTTTACATCCCCTCGCCTTGGATTGTAGAGCACATGAATGTTCCCAACAAGTATTCTCCTTGATTTAGCTTTGCGCATCTACCTGTATTAGAAGAAGTAAGACCAGGAAATTGACAGGCTAGTTGAGAATGAAAAATAATTGCAACTAGACAATTGCATATGCTGTATAACTTTTCAGGAACCTTGTCAACTTGCATAATAGTAACAGCAATCAAGTTCTACAGCACTCCTTCATCCAATGCCTTACATAGTAGGACTTCATTAAACAAGCTAAAATCTACAAAACACCCATTTCTTCCATGCAAACTAGAAACACAAGTGGAATCTTAAATAACTGAAGTGGGGCAAATCAAAGGGAAATAACTCTTTCTACTGTAATCATCATTTGAAAGACCAAACGTTGGGTTTCCAACTTCATGATAAAAGAGATTTTTTGCCGTTGTATAAAAAGAGTCTACCTTTTTTCCTACTCTAATTACCAACAGCAGGCTGCACTAGTGAAATATCTAGCAAAACTTAGATGAAAAAACAAAAAGAAGAAACTGATCTGGTTGTGCTGTTACAAGCACAAAATTCATCATCTAGCATCTGTAGGAAAGAAAAGTTCATTTAGTTGAGCTTTAGCCTTTGCTTGACACGAGTTTTGATATGAACAGTCTCGTTCTATTCATTAACTTAATGTATTCCTCTTGATAAGCAATTTTGAATTCTTTCTACTTATTGAAAAAGAGATAAAAACTTCAAAATGCACCCTAAGATTACCATAACATATAGTTTTGCTCAGTACGGAACCCCAGTATTAGCAAAAACATTGAATCAAATCACAGACAGGAGGAGACCATTGGGACAACATTGGTGACAAACACAAGTCAATGTACATATTTGATTATGTACAAGAAACCAAATCAAAATTACTCTTCTAGAATCAGGAATCAGAAGCTGCAGTACCAAGGGCCTAATATACCAGCCTTTTTGAAGATCTTCCTACATTTGCCCCTACCGTTTAGGACATTATCAACTGTGTGCTTGTGTTGGCAAGATTTATCCTTTAGACTACATAAATATAGAATTCGTTAGAAACAAGGAAATTTATCATCTCCAGCTCACAATGTTCATCTCATCCACATGACAACTGAGTTTTTAAATCAGCTATTGAAAACTGAACCAACTAACGCAGAACTACAAGTCACTACATAGGAACGCATATATGCTCTAGATAAAAGCTGTAAAACCATCAAATATCTCGATGTTAGTGCGTTACCTCAAATACAGAGACTTGAGCAACATTATCTCGGAGCCCATACTGCTTAAACTCAATGCTCTCTCCCTCTATCAATTGGAACCTAAAAAAGCATCGAACAAACCAAACTAGAGCATCAGTATCAATTATACAAATTTGCGAATCATCTTAGCATACGTAACAAACAAGACAAATAGCATAAATATTTACTTATCCGCTTTCCAAAACATTGCGCAACCATCAGCATAATCTCCAGTCCGCCTCTATGCAAAAAGAAAAAAAGGACATCAAAAATCATCCAACCAATATCAAATTCCCAATGAAAATATTCAATAAAAGAAGAGGAATTCAGGAAAGAAAAAAGGAGCTTTCACCTTATAAGAACCAAGGTACCCAGCTTTCTCCATGATGTTTAAGACATCAAAATATTTGTCCACCTCCTAAATTTTTACACCAATTGCAACAAATAAGTTCAGTTTGAGCTTTAGTTATCCCTTGTTTGTTCCAAATATAAAAACAAAAAGGAAAGCACAAAACTTTACTTGTAAACAAATGATATCAGGGTTCAAACCAATGAGCTCTTCGCATATAACCCTTTTGCGATAGTCCCATTTCAGGTAAATTGACGGAACATTTCTGTACAAATCCCAATGCTTGAAGGCATTTCTATCACCCAATATATTATACGACACAACGGTAAATCTCTCTGCAGCAAAAATTTAAAAACTTCATTCAGTTCCAAGAAAATATCAACCATCAAGAATTGATTTTCTAGTTAACTTCACAACCCCATATGAAACAAAAAGGAAAATGAACCTTCAGATAGAAGATGAGTTCTATTATTGTCTGCTGTAACCCACTGGCGGTCAGTATCAGGGATCAGCAGGGATGACTTTCGGCGGACGGGGTTGTACCATCTCCGGCTGTAGGATGATGACTTGGAGTTTGCTGGGCCCTTGACGCAAGTAAGTAAGAAGGAGGAAGATGGCGCCGCTCTAAGGCAGCAGCCCATTGATTGAAAGTAGTAGGGGTAGAAGCCCAGGTGCAGGAGGTAACTTTGGACTTTGGAGAGCGAGCAGTAGAGATAGGTACTATATTGTACAGTAACGTAGTACGATTGGGAGTAGGATTGAGTTCGTGTGGAGGTGGTGAATCTGAGCGCCAAAGTTAGTTGAAGGCGTTGCTTGGAGCTGGGGATTAGGGGCCAAAGTGCAACACCCTTGTAGACTAGTCTAATCCTAAGCAATGTATGCACGCATTTGAGCAATCCGTTACACAAATATCAACAAAAACCTTAGCATGGCCCTGTCCCGAAAGTAAACCTTTGTGTGGCCTTCCTAAACCGAACCAAATGTCTCACTTGATTGGTACTGGAATTTTTCTTTTTAAAAAATGATAGAAGCTTTTATTAATATATCAAAACTTTATAGTAGAGTTCAATTATCTTTATATAAGTGTACCTCGACACTTAAATAGTAAAAAAATCATTTTCTCATCTATTAATATGCCCTACTGCATATTCTCTAATGCTTTTATATAGATCCATACTATCGATATTTCTCACACAAAAGGAGTACAATTGAAACAAACTAGCTAAGTTATTTGTATCTTCCATCAATGTAGACATTCTAATGTCTTTCACCGTCCTTGCTCTAATCATGAAGATGAGCTGTTTGTTTCCAGAACTAACTCTAATTTTCCGCCATTGCTGCTCTTTTGCCTTGATTAATGCTAGTCTTACTGCTTCAGCTTCATCTTGCAGTTTCTTGACTGGTACTAGCAGTGGTAGTACCATTTTAAGATTTTCTTGTGCCTTTTGTGCCCGTCATTAGTAGTGTCATAACTCATAAGCAGCAGTGTTCTATGTTTGGTTGAACCTTCCATTACTTTGTTAACAATGATCGATATATTATAATCTAGGGATAATTTCAGAAACCTCCGTTGAGGTTTTTAACAATTTCATTTAGCTCCTTCGAGGTTTTTAAAATTACATGTACCTCCCTTGTCATTTAAAATGATAATACTACCCTTAAATATTTTAATGAACCTTTGTTTGGTATGCTTATATTTAGAATGACTTTTAAAATTATTTTTTTCATTCTTTTTCCTTCTTATTCCTTTTTATTTTAATTTTTTGCCAATAAAATTGTAGAACTACTACTATTATCTTTTAATTTCTATTGTAACAAAATGTCGAACTAGTGATTTTTTTTTATGAGTTAACTTTATACGTAATCCAATGTTTTTTTGCTAATTTTTGTTTTCTATTTTCTGATATTAAAATTAACAATAAATCAAACATAAATGACCCAAAATCACTACTAAATTATGATAATCCCACTACTCAAAAAATTCAACTCTAAATCCATTATTTTGACATTTTCTTTTCTATCGTATAAATCCAAATCTATAATAAAATACCATCAAAAGTATCCTATCATATAGATAAAATTATTATTATAGTTGTTTATCAAGTAGTAGGTATGGACATGAAAATTTTGACACATTTTCCTTATAATTATACTAGATAATCTTATAATTGTATAGGAAAATAAATTAAAACTCACTACACAAGGGCATTTTTGGATATTCATTTAAAAATTTGACCAAATCAATATTATTTTAAAATTTTGTTACTAAAACTATCAAATCAAGGGAGATAGGTGTAATTTTTCAAATTTCAGGGAAGTTCAATGAAATTGTCAGAAACCTCAGGGAAGGTTTATGAAATTATCCCTATAATCTATCTTAGTATAAATGACGCAACGTTTGTACATGATCTCAATATTGGTAAAGTTTCTCTCTTTTTCTGTTCTTGTAATACTAATTTATTCCTCTTTCCTCTCTATTTCTCCATCTTGTTCTTTCTTAATTTGATAATTCCTTATTCAATTCCATTACAACGGAATTGAGAGATTGGCACTAACTGCAAGATAGAGTTGAAACAATCTTTTATATAATTGAAAAAATATATATGTAATTGAGCATAAGACAACAAATAATAAAGGATTACCATTTTATGCACAGATAGTATAATAATTTTTTTTATACCAGCAACTTTAGATGTATGCTACATATGCATGATTTAAATTTCAAATTTAAATTTATGTTATGTAACATAATCTAAATCTATTAATATAAACAATATTATACACTGACAGTATATGAAAAAAGTTATTCAATAATAAATTTATATTCATTAATCAAATTTACAAAATCAAGATTTTAAACTGAATCTTTTACTATACACAACGAATCAACATCAAATCAAACCAGCTTGAGTGGGTTACGGTGTTCATCATTATATCTATTTTTATACATAAAGCATGAGCACGGTTTAGCGTTAACAAAATATGTTATTATTTTGAATTATCAAATTTACTTAAATTTACCATTATCATTAAGAGCAAAATGATAACAATTGCTTTGTTATCACATTGTCCTCTTCTCACATCAATAGTTGCTTTGACATAAAGTCGTTTCATTATTTATCTTTTTTCATAAAGTATGCATACACATATAGCGTGTTTTACCCGTAGTGAAAAAAATTTAAAAGAGATGTTATAACACTTCTCTCTTCTAGTCAGATCTATATACCTGTTTATCCTTTGCACAATTTCTTTAGGCTCCTTGCTCTGTAAAATATGATAGATTAGATTATAAAAATATTATCATTGTGAAAAAAAAAACATAAAGTGTGCCTCACCCATTTTAATTGCTAATAATGGATAGTACTAATTGGGGGAGTACATGCACTTTAGAGCAAAAAACCTCAGTGGCCATTAAACTATTGGTGGGATCATATTTTGGCCATCAAATTATTTTTTATTAATAATTGGCTATTAAACAATTTAATCCGTTAAGCCATAACCATTTCATTGTTAATTGCTCTTAAGTTCTAAAATTAGCAAAACACGAGGTAATGTCCAGGACAAATTTGTGCAGCAATTTACTGACCCTAAAAGTCCGATACGGCTAATTTCAGAACAATAGAGGAGTTGCTGGACCTTCAGCATCTTCCACCGAGTCGCCAGCCAAACCCCAAGTCGCATCCCTCAGCGTTCCTCGCACCGCTGCCAGAGGAACCGCCACCACCCACCGGAAGGCCACTGTGACGGTCCAAGAAGATGAATTCGAAACTACTTCACATCCTTCCACCAGGACTCCCCGTTCAACCAGAGGACTGCCGGTTGCTGCAGCTGAAGCAGACGTCCCCCAAACTCCACTCCCGCCTAGCAACATAGCCAAGGCTGCTTCGGCGTGCCACAAAATCGAGCCCCACTTTAATCAAATTGAACGGGAGGGACACCCGGAGGATAATAATAACATTGGCAAGGAAAGGGAGCATCTTTCTGAAATCGCGGCTATTGTGCCAGCTACCTGGCAACGAGGTCTCAAGCATACACACAGTTGTTATTTACGAACAAACAAAGGAGTTGAGTTTAGGGATGGCAATGGGGCGGGTCCCCGGCGGGCACCCGCCCCGCGGGGGACTACCGGGGCGGGGGGAAAAAATCCCCCCCGGTTTAGAAACGGGGCGGGGAACGGGGGTATATTCCCCCGCCCCGTCCCCCGTTTAAAATTTAAAAAATATATATATACATAATTATATATATAATGATATTATTAATTATATTACTAATTATACATGTTTATTAATAAAAATTATTAACTATTTATACTAAATTTATTAATACATTTATATTAAATTTCTAACTACACTTAATACAATAACATTTTTTTCCAAAAAAGCATAATAACAATTTAGTGAATGTATTTGTATCAAAAACGAAAATTTGATTATTTTAGTTATACTTTTTTATCATATTAGATTGTATTCAAATAACTTTTGTTTAATTATTTTTATGAGTTTCAATTGTAAAGTTACGATGAATAATAATTTGATGATATGTTGATATTTTAGTACTTGATTATTTGTTCAAATTTAATTATAATAAATTATATAATAAATTTTTTTTAACCCCCGCGGGTGCCCCCGCGAGGGATGCGGGGCGGGGCGGGGGAAGTCGAAGCGGGGGATGGGGGTAACTAATAGGCAATGGGGCGGGGGACGGGGGAAGGATCCCCCGCCCCACCCCCGCCCCATTGCCATCCCTAGTTGAGTTGTAGGGTCAGTAAATTGCTGGACAATGAGCAGCTGTTCACGCACTTTTCATAAGCCCACCTGCTCAATTTAGAAACTCTTTTGCCTGCCTCTATTTCTCTTCTTTGCTCTTGTTTTTCAAGAAATGGGGAGCTTTGAGCATAAAGTGAAGGAAAGGGCCAAGGAATTGAAGATCCTTTTCCAGGAAGGGGGGAAGATTGTTGGAGATTCATGCAAGAAGGGATGGTACAAGGTCCAGGACATTAGGAAGTAGTGATTTCAGGGATTTTGTTCTGTTTCAGCAAAAAATTGTTCACGTTTTCTTTTTCTGCTTCTGACAATTTTTTGGGTTAATTTACCAGTTGAGTTTTGTTTAGTTGTGGTAAGTGGTTTTGTTTAGGGATGGCAACGGGGCGGGGGACCCCTCCCCCATCCCCCGTCCTCCACTCCCCCCGCCCCGCCCCGTTTCTCCCGTGGGGTTAATAAAAAATTGTTATATAATTTTATTATGGTTAAATTTTAGCAAATAATCAAGTACTAAAATATCAAAACATCATCAAATTATTATTCATTGTAATTTTACAATTGAAACTTATAAAAACAATCAAATAAAAATTATTTGAATACAATCCAATATGATGAAATGAATATAATCAAGTAGTCAAGTTTTCATTTTTGGCACAAATACAATCACTAATTTATTATTGTACTTGTGCTTTTTTTAAGAAAAAAATGTATTGTATTAAGTGTAATTAGGAATTTAGTATAAATGTATTAATAAATTTATATTAGCAAATTTAGTATAACCAATTAATAATTTGTATTAGTACACATATATAATTATTAGTATAATTAATAATATCAATTATATTATATATACTAATAGACATTATATAATACATATAACTAATAATATCATTTTCATAAGTTTGTAACTAATTAAATTATATATTATATATATAATTATATACATATATATTTATGTTTTTAAAGCGGGTGGCGGGGCGGGGGTACACTCCCCCGCCCCCCGCCCCTTTTCTAAGCGGGGGGAAAAAATTCCCCACTTCCCCGCCCCAACCCCCTCCCCATTAGCCCTCCGCGGGCGGTTTTTGGTCAAGGATAGCACCCGCCCCCATTGCCATCCTTAGTTTTGTTACATGTAAAGGGAGTTTGGGTAATTCTTGTGGTTTTTTTTTTTACACGTAGCTTCTTGTGATAACTACTCTCAATCCTTGACCAAAAAAAATTATTGGACAAAATTATCCTCGGACATTGCCACGTGTAATGCTAATTTTAGAACTTAAAAGTAATTAACGACGAAATGGTCACGGGTTAATGGATTAAATTGTTTAGTGGCCAATTATTGATAAAAAATAATTTGATAGCCAAAATATGATTCCGCAGATAGTTTAATAACTGCTGGGATTTTTTGCCTTGAACTTTATAGGTTACTGAAGGGGCTTCCAGTAATTTTACCTTCCTCCTAGAATTTCACACATTGCGACATCGTTTACCCCTAGCATTTATCCCTTGTAAATAGATAAAACCAAAGGAAAATCAGGAAATAATTGTGTCCAAAATTAACACGAGCCCGGAGCCACCAAATATTTTAGAAGTGGAGCAGAAATTTTGTTGGCACCTGACTGAAGAACAATAATACACTGCGACTGCGTGTGTGTGTGTGTGTGTGTGTGGTGTAGGACGACGAGGCTACAGACAGAGGCCCATTAATGGAGACCACCATCTGCAGTCGAGTTGCTCTCTCCCCCAACCCGTTACTCCAGCCCAAACCCGGTATCCGAGCTCCATCTTCTTTCTTCTTCGTTTTATTCATCCTGTTATTGGGGTTACAACCCATAAGAAATAAATTGCTGGCTGAACTGAAATTTCTTTTGATTTTAGAACATGTAGCAACAGGGATGTGATGTTGGTTTGTGACAATTCTTGGTAAATGGGAACTAATAGTGTCAAACGAATTAAGCTGTAGAAGCCCGGTAATTTGCATGATGAATGTGGAATTTGCTTTGTTTTGTTAGGTAAGTGCTATTGGAGAAGGATTTTTCAGATGATAACTTCAATACTTAGATTTGGGATATAGGTTTATTGGAGATAAACTAATATAATCTGTACTGCTAATGTTATTGAATTTGCTGATTAAAAAGAAATTACTTGAGCATGCAATTGTTTAGTGATTTTATTGTATCACAATTCAGATGTTATAAGTTGAAATAGTAGTGTGTGTAGGTATAGTGAGATAGTAATTTTTTCCGTGTGGTTGCAAATATGGGAATTGGAAAGAATCAGACCGAATCTATGTCAAGCTGAAGCTTTGAATCTCGATCAGAGCCGCTATGGTTACTCGTGAGAATATAGATATCTCACTGAATCTAGGCCATGGAAAGGAGAAAAGTTATCTGTTGCATGACTTCTGAACATCTGTTAAAATAGGCCTTTCTTTTGTGAATACTTGCACTTGTTTCGTTTGTAGTGTTCTTTGTGGCTTGCAAACCTTTGGATACCCTGCTATGTTTTAGGATAATATTCTGGCCCCCTGTCCCCATTCCATCTTGTAATTTTGGTTCAAATATTTTTTCTTTTCTCTAGCTAATAAACAACCTCAGCAGCATCCCTATTATCAGTTTCCAATCACTGGGCATTTATGCTATTGGTGATTAATTTTTTATATGCATGCTGATAGTATTATGGTCCACAGGAGATAAATATTCTCTTCAAAAACAATGGAGAAGCAGGAGCAACTTTATGACAATGCCAATTGCAGGAGCTGGGAAAGGCGCTGGGGTGTTGGATAAGCCTGTCATAGAGAGAACAGCTCCTGGTCGTGAATCAGAATTTGACTTGAGGTCTGGTAGTTTAAACTTGTAACTTTTTTCCATGGTTCGGCAATGTTGTGGCTCTTTTTTTCTTTTGCAGAAGAACATAATTTTTGTTTCTCTCTTTATTCCATACTACTACTTTGACTTTTCCACAACAAAGTTGTATCTTGTGTTTCCGAGGTCCTCTTTAGCTCTTTCTCTCTCTCTCTTTAATGTTTTATATTAACTTGGATAATATATATATATACACACACACACACACAGTGAGTTGAACAGTTGTATACTATATGGGATAGGACTAAAGAACAAGACGTCTGACACTTACATAGAGCTGAGGGTTTTTAACAGTGTGGTGGAGCTTTCAGACCTGAGTAGTTTGGAATTTTTATTGGGCTTATATAATTTGGCATTCTTCTTGCTATTCATACCATACAGTGCACATCTGGTAGCACTTTCAGCTGTTTAGAGCTGGACTAAAAGAACTACAGCATAAAAAATCAAAGATGTGGTGGTGAGACTTGCTTGCTCTTCATTGACTGAACAACTTGGGGGGAGATGACGCTCTAAGCTGTAGTGGCTTATTTGCTTTAGTGAAAGTTCATTATAGTTTTTGTTGGTCCAAATCTATTTTGAGGTGTTCTCTTTTGCTTTCTATTCTCTACAACTAGCTTCAAGCTGAAAGAAACTGATCTGAAATGGTACTTTTAAAGATTTTTTTCCGAGATGACTGGCTTTTAAAAATATTCAGCATTGGCAACTTTTAAGCAAGGCATATTGTCAACAAGAAATTGTCGAAATTTTATGTATGATTGACAGAGTAAGAGCTAACCAGTGATATATTTATTTTTCTGCTGAAGAGTAACCATAAAATGTCTAGAAAGAAGAGAACAGCTTGAAGAACCTCTTATCGTTTCCTGCCATGCGATGTTCATTGTTGTTTTCATTCTTGTGGATACCTATTGCTAAAATTTCCCTCCCACCTCCCCCTTCTCCCATCAAACAGAGACAGAAAAAGAACAAATAAAAGGGACGGAAAAGTAAAGCCACCAAAAACCTGAATGAATTGGATGATGCCTTTCATTTTGAAAGTGGTGCATGATAGTTGAAATTGGTAGATTCTATAAACAATTAGGGATATGTTGCATGAAGATTACTCCACTTTGTTTTCCAGGAAATCAAGGAAAACGTCTCCGCCTTACCGGGTGCTACTGCACAATGACAATTACAACAAGAGGGAGTATGTTGTGCAAGTGCTGATGAAAGTCATACCTGGGATGACTCTGGACAATGCCGTGAATATCATGCAAGAGGCACATTACAATGGCTTGTCGGTGGTGATAATCTGTGGTCAAGTAGACGCAGAAGACCACTGCATGCAGCTGAGAGGCAACGGCCTCCTGAGCTCAATTGAACCTGCCAGTGGAGGTTGTTGAACATATCAGATTTCATTACTTTGGGGAGTTGTAATGGATCTGCATTACTAGGACTTGCACATGTATATAGAAGCTTGAAAGCTAGCATCTCAATCAGTCGACATGCACTAGGACTTTGAATCTGTAGACCAAGATGAGGGTATCAGTGCCAATATACCAGCTACCCTATCTTAATCTCCTCTCTATATGAATAATCTATTATCACCTCCCTTATTGGCCATTTGCTGCGGTTTATATGTGAGTAGTTGGTTCTGAATGAGGCATGCACATGAATATATATATTATGATTATGTATTTTCTAAATTCATCGTTGGCTGGCTCATTTGGTCCGTCTACAAAGTTTCTTTTTTTTGGGTCAGCAAACGTACTTTAGTGGAGACGTGAAAATTGAAGCCCAATTCTCTATATGGCAGTTTTTTCCAACTTGTTATTCTTGGATCTCAAAGATTTACTCCTAAAATTTAATTTTATCCCAGCCCAAAAGGAGAGAGAAAAGTATGGCTTGGTTTGGGAGTTTAGGGGAGAAGGAAAAGAAGACACTATGTAAGAAGAATGAGGTCATTCTACCAATACCATATTAATGGGGTCGTACTCATATAATTGTTATTTTGTTGCTTATAGTTAAAATTCTAAAATAGGTAACCCAAAAACTTTTTTACTTTTGGAAAAAAAAATTCTCTTTATGGGTAAAAAAAAAAAAGAAGGAATTCATCACCCCAATTCCTTGCCACTAAAAAAATCCTCAAAATTAAACGCACCGACCCGACCCGTTACTGACCCGACCAGCCGAAAGAAGACTCGCTATTGTTCTACGGCCCGAGTATTTTCAAAACCCCAACTAAAGCCCCCCTCGCAGTAGAGTACGAAGCTCGGAAAGCAAAGAAACCAAAGACCAAACTCCCCAATCAAATCGGAACTCCGCCCAATTTAGCCCTGCAACCATGTACGGCGGAGGTAGTATCGTTCTATCTTTCTCACTCACGTAGAACACACACTTACAGGCTCAGGCACTCGCTAGCACTGACTTCACTACGTACCAGTTTAAATTTGTTTTATTTATGTGCATTTTTCTCTGCTATGTATAAAAAAAAAAAAGATGAGGTATTAGCTATAGTGGTGGACTTAGGCTCACACACTTGCAAAGCTGGTTATGCCGGCGAAGATGCTCCGAAAGCCGTCTTTCCTTCGGTAAGCCACTGCTAGTAGTCTATTTCAGCTCAATATATTCGCGAATTTACTGCATTTATTATCATGATTTTGCAATGTGGCTAGAATTTTACTGTTCTGGAGCTGAATTTTTCTCCAAGTTTGAATTTTTTGTTTTACCTTCTTTTGCACCTGATTTATGTTAATCTCATTCGAGTTTCTTCTTAATGTAACCATTAAAGTTTGATTTTGATAGTCGTCGTTCTTCCTTTTCTTTTGGTCCTCGTTTGTTGGATGTGAACTTCTTACACTGGGAGATTTTAAAGGTTGGAACGTGGAATCATGGTTACAAGGAACTGAACCTACAGTTTAAGAAAAAAGAACTAACCATAGGACAGACCAACCTAAGAAGTTGATTGTGAACATGTACAGGGGGTTTAAGTTGTTGTGTTGTTTTACTTTTGCCATTGTGGATAGTGCTAATTTTTCTTCGATTTACTTTCTTTTGGCTCTTTAAGGAGAATTTTTTTGACAAGGCAGTTGAATAAAATGGATTTTATGCATGGAAGGAAAATTGAAGTGCCAACTTGCTATAGATTGCAAGGGGATCTATACTAAAGATTGAAGGTTTAAATGTCGAACATACGGCAGAATTATGGACTTCACTTTTCTGATATTCACCATATTGCTACACGAGGGGTCTTTGAAGGAAAAGGGTCTTGTTTTGGTAAGATGATGCATCAACTATTTGATCATTTATCAGGTTGTTACATTGGCTCTAGAATCTTAATGAAGACTTATCTTTATCGTGAACGTGAAGCTTGATGGAGATTAAATACAGGATAACTGATGCTTCTAAAACATACTGGTGAATGTAGCGTCTAATGGGTGCACAGTAAACAGCTGACATAAGATTTGTATTGTATAAGGTTATTGGATCAATTGATCAAATGGAAGTTGATGAGCCGGATAATCCAGACAAGAATTCTGGATCTGTTCCAGATTCTAAATCCAAGGCTAAGCGAAAGTTATACGTAGGATCCCAGGCCTTGGGATTCCGCCGGGATCATGTGGAGGTCAGTCAGAGGAACATCTTTTAGATAGGTTTTGGCTTGCACGTTCAACCTCTTTTCTTATTGAGCTTGTGATATTCTATTTTCTCAGGTCCTATCTCCAATTAAGGATGGGATAGTTGCTGATTGGGAAATTGTTGAAAGCATATGGGATCATGCCTTCAAGTAATCAAATTTGCATATTCATTTTGGTTCAAATTGTATTCTAAGCATATGGAATCTCTGTGCTGCATCACCTGCTTAGTAGTTACAAGGGATGCAACAATGGTTTGCTTACTAAATGGATCAGACCTTAGCAATAGGGAAAATTTATGAATAGCATATTGGCGGGGAGTAATAGCGAATTCAACTTAAATAATTTCAACACATCCAGCTCTGTTCAAATCTTTAATATTTTGATTCTCATCTTGGAGGTCCTAGATAACATATGTAACTAATCTTGTACTTCTTCTCATCGTCAGACTGATACCACTTTAGTGGAATAATTGTTTTCCTATTCTAGAATTCATTTAGATTTACTAGAAGACAGGAGAAAAGGGGAGCTTTTATGTGCTGGTGTATTGTCTTCAGCGATGGATAAATACATCCCATCCTTTCCATTGTCATGCACTGCTTGTGGAAAAATGTGTTTTTCCTTTTTTCTCTTAGTTGTGCATCTCCGCATTGTTTTTGAATGGTACAGCCATCTCTACCATTCAATGAATATTATAATTCATAATTCATACTATCACTTGCTTTGTCATTTGTAGGGAATGCCTCTTGATTGATCCTAAGGAGCATCCCATGCTGCTTGCTGAGCCATGTGCTAATTCTCAACAACAGAGAGAAAAGTGAGATGATAATAAAAAATTCAGAATCCCGCAATGGATCCTTCTTTAGTCCTTTATATGCCTATATGTTTTATTACTTGCATGACATCTCTCATACATGTGACCTGGAAGGTCCTTTTGCTTCTTGCTCCAAAAGATTAGTGTTACTAAGTTTCTAATATAGTGGTGATGCTTGATTTATAAGTTAAATTTTTCTCATATAATTTTGGGGGGTATGGGTGGATAAGTCTGTCTTTGCAAGGTAAGCTCTGGTTATTTTTGTCTCTCTTCTTTTGAGATTTCAGTCATTTGAGATGTATGTACTTTTCTTCCATTTCCCATTATTTTGAGAGACATAAGAAAGGAGATGGTGGTATTCCATGTGGCTGTCTAAACAACAATTCTTAAGTATGCAGATCTCTTAAACCATGCACGGTTTGGAGAATCATAGCTCAAATTTTTTGGCTCAACATGGATATCCTTTTCTTCGCCAGGCTTTTAGGACCTTTTTTTTTTTTTTTTTTTTTTTTTTTAAACAAGTAACTTTTTATTCAATCCAAAAAAAACAGTTACAAGCGATTTCGAGCCTCCTATCCCTTACTCAAGTACAAATCTAAAAGCCGGGACTTGGGCAGCATCCATAGCAATACGTCCCCGAACCTGCCGCGGCTTTTAGGACCTTATTAATTGCCATTGGAAAATAAAGATGGTCTGAAAATGCACATCTAGCAAAGTATAAGTAAGTGCTTGTGGCAGTTTCCTGCTCTAGCCTTTAGGAGGTCTTTCTCATCATTTGTTGGAACATTCATTGTCCAATAAATCTTGCTTATAAAGACAAGAAGCGATGAGGTTTGCTGCTATATTAGACTTGTTTAGTACTGACCGGAATTGCCTAAACATATGCCTCATTGCATGGGCTACTTTTAGAGACCTTTATGCTGATGAGTTTAGATTAACTAATCTACTGTCTTGGTTCAAATTATCAAATAACTAGAGAAACAAATGATGCATTTTGACAAATGATGCTGATGAGTTTTTTTGACAAATGATCCATTTTGAATTCTCTTGATTGCTTTTGGTTTGATTTGAAATTCCATTTACTGACATGATCTAATCTGTCAGACTATTCCTGGTATGGAGAATTTTGCCGAGACTGCTCCTTCTGTTCGTGGACTGCCACAAATGGTAAATCCTGTCATTTTGCACTTTTATCCATGAGCTGGGGATCTAGCTACCATTATTCTCTTTTTACTTTTACAATATATCCTTCTAAAATTCTTCAGGTCTTGGAGAGCATAAATAAGTGTGATGTGGATATTAGGAGAGAACTCTTCAGCAGTATACTGGTAAATTTTCAACCCTTCAATGTGAATAAGTACCTTAATTACACCAAAATGTATAAGGCTGTTATCTAGACTTTTTTTTTTCTGTCGACAATAAATTATTTTTTCCCCTGTTGGTTATCAAAAATCTCTGCAATTTTAGTGAGGTAAACCTTGTATGTAGTGCTTCATCTTGCAGCTGTTCCCCTTTTTCCTTGGATTTCCAGCTTCCCATATATTCTCTTCATAGTATTTATGCATAATTGGCTGTGTCCCAATAAATTTGCCTCTCTCCACGAACTCAGACATCTTACTTAATTCCTACTTTTTCACTCTGATGATATTCCTATAGTAGCGGGATATTATTTTTTGTCCTTTTTTCAGTGCAGATGCACATCAAGGATTCCTGCTGTTATATTTAGGTTTTGCTAACTTCTTTTTAAGCTTGTTTTAGCTCAATGACTCTTAAAAGATGATGTCTTCCACTCAAGTTTCTGTTCTGTCCCCCAGATCATTGTATTTGCATAGTTACCTTTTGTGTTGTCTTTAGGAAACATATCTTGTACTTAGAAGAGTGGATCATATAGTATCTGATTTGATTTCAACCTTACACAGCTTGCTGGTGGCACTGCATCCATGCAACAGTTAAAGGAACGTCTGGAGAAAGACTTGCTAGAGGTAGGTTTTTTTCAGTCAGATTTCTGTATTTAAAAGAAAAAGAAGTCCTTGTTCTGGTACTCTCCCCAAAAGAGGAGAGGGAAAATAAAAAGGAAACTCAGAAGCCCAAAGTTGTGTGATGAAGGAAAAGATGAAAGAAAGGGAAGGAAGAAAAGATCAGATATGTGGCTATCTAGTTATTTCTGACATCAAATGCTTAATGTTGAGAGAATGCACAGCTTATTGCAACGTGATGATTCAAGTTTGTCCAGTGGTTTTAGTTAATGCTTGAGATTTTTCTTATGTCTGGGTCTACCGTTTGCAGGAATCTCCTCAAGCTGCTAGAGTGAAAGTTTTGGCAAGTGGAAATGCAACAGAAAGGAGATTCAGGTAGACTAACTTGCTTGATGGGAAAATTTTTTTTTTTTAAAAAAATGAAAAATGGAAATCAATGTGTTCTATCTTCTGCATGTGTAGATGGGTGGATGTAGATTGCTGTTGTCCTTTCCTTCCCATGTTATTTTCATTTCTTCAAGAACCAAATTTTCAGGTTGAACATTGTGAATTGTTACATAAATCGGCATCTCTTTGGGAGGCGGCTCAATAGAAAAGCCATTAGGTTACAGCATTGATGTTACGTGTCACTTAGGAATTCGCCATATGGAGAGGGTAAATCATGTTGGTAACTGGCAGATATGCTTTTGTTTCATTCCTGTATTCCTTGCCTCAGTGCTTCCTCCAAAGCTGCATGTTTAGACCAAATTGCTTCTGTTTTATGATTGAACTTGAAGAGGATATTGCATTCATGTTAGCATCCTACGCGTTGACTAACTCGTCGCATTCAGTGTTTGGATAGGTGGGAGTATAATGGCGTCGCTTGGATCCTTTCAGCAAATGTGGTTTTCAAAGTCTGAGTAGGCTTTTACATCCACTCCACCTTTGAATATTCAACTTTTCTCCTTTTTTCTCCCCATATTCAGTCCGTTTTGTCTCTTGATTAACAGGTTCGAGGAACATGGAGCTTCTTATGTTCAAAGAAAATGCCCGTAAAAGTACTTGACTGGTGCGGACAATTATCACATTAGACAGAAATTCATGGAGCTGACTTCACTTTGATTAGTTTGCTGACGGTATGGGTTGCTTGGTTTTAATATCCTGCTCTATAGGTGCCCAAACAATGTAATATATATATATATATATATATATATATATATATATATATATATATATATATATATATATATATATATATATATGTACCGCTCGCGGATCGTTGCTAATGTTGTACAATTACGTTGCCTAGTGGGTAGGCCTGTTAACGGTTCGGGTTCGGATCCATGAAATTATTGCTGGTATGGGTAGGGATTTAATTCCGTTACTCGGATCCGGATCAGGATCCGTTTTGTTAAACAAAAAAAATGGATCGGATACGGAATATAGTATTCCGACCCGTATTAAAGAATATAAATGGATTAATAATTTAAAATAGGGATAATTGCATAAACCTACCTTGAGGTTTCTGACATTTGCACTAACATTCCATGTGGTTTGAAAAATTACACTGACCTCCCCTGAGATTACTAATCTTTTGCAAATTTAGTCCAAACGATTAAAATATTATTTTAGGGAGTGAAATTAGAATTTTGTACCAGATTTGTCCTTTGTGCTACATGTCCAATGAATGACAAAGTACTATAAATCAATTAACAATTAATAAACTTTAAGGAGTATAATTTATGAGTAAACACGCATTACTCATTTAAAGTACCGACTCTTTACGGGTATTTTATTTTCAAACATTAAATTTATGATAAATATATCAATATTTGTAAGTAAAATTCAGAAAGTGTTACAGTAATATTCTTGCTAAAAGGAAATCGGTAGGTTATTTATTTAATATAAATTAAATTTTTTTTTAAAAAAAGCAATGGCTCATAAAGTATTAATTTTTTATGGTTTTCATCCATTACATGAGTAAAGTATTCGCTCTTTATGTGCATTTTATTCTGAATCATTTAATTTATGTTAACATAAATGTTTGTAACTAAAATTGAAAAAGTGTTATATTAATATTTTTACGGAAGAGAAATTAGTAGGTTTTGTATTTAACAAAAATTAAATATTTGAAAGTAAATACAAATCTGTATTTGAGCGCAAATATTTGTATTAAATTAAATGTTTGAAAGTAAAATATCCGTAGAGAACTGGTACTTTAAATAGTTACTGACTCTTTATGGGCAAACACGCATTACTCATTTAAAGTACCAGTTCTTTACGGGTATTTTACTTTCAAATATTTAATTTATGGTAAGTATATCAATGTTTGTAAGTAAAATTCAAAAAGTGTTACAGTAATATTCTTGCAAAAAGGAAATCGGTAGGTTATTTATTTAATATAAATTAAATATTTTTTTTTTAAAAAAATGGCCCATAAAGTATTAATTCTTTATGGCTTTCATCCATTACATGAGTAAAGTATTGGCTCTTTATGGGCATTTTATTCTGAATCATTTAATTTATGTTAAATACATAAATGTTTGTAACTAAAATTGAAAAAGTGTTATATTAATATTTTTACGGAAGAGAGATTGATAGTTTTTATATTTAACAAAAATGAAATATTTGAAAGTAAATACAAATCTGTAATTGAGTGTAAGTATTTGTATTAAATTAAATGTTTGAAAATAAAACACTCATAAAGAGCCGGTACTTTAAATAGGTAATGTGTATTTGCCTATAAACTATACTCCTTAAAGTTTATTAATTGTTAATTGATTTGTAGTACTTTGCCATTCATTAGACATGTAGTACAAAGGACAAATTTGGTACAAAATTCTAATTTCACTCCCTAAAACAATATTTTAATCGTTTGGACTGAATTTGCAAAGGATTAGTAACCTCAGGGGATGTCAGTATAATTTTTCAAACTACAGGGGAGGTCAGTGTAAATGTCAGAAACCTCAGGGGAGGTTTCTGCAATTATCCCTTTAAAATATGTATATTCATCAATATAATTTGATTAGGGTGATGTATTTGAGTAAAGTCAATTTGATTTCTTTTCTTATTTGGTTTTTTTTTTGTATTAGTTAGAAATTAGTGTATAAATATATATATTTTCTCATTTTTATTAGAAATTGTAAAATTTGATAAATTTTTTCTGGTAGATCCGACCCGAATCCGAGACCCGTGGGATCCGGATCCAAAATATGGAGTAAAAGACCCGTTGGATAAACGGGTCGGATTCAGGTCCGATTTTGTATACCGGATCCGGGTCCGGGATAATGAATTTCGGTCCGGACCCCGACCCGTTGACAGGCCTACTAGTAGGGATTATAATATCCTCCGTACGGGTTCGTGTAGCAACATTACGGTCGCAGACATTTTAAAACTTGGGGTGATTTGTTGCTGTCTTCCAGGAGTACTTAGTGAGAGAGGGATTGAATTTCTGCATGTTAAATTTAATAAAAGTCTGAAATGATTTGGTGCAAGTGCAGCTTTGGAAAGCTAAAAGCTATTTCCCCCAACAACTAAAAATGCACTAATGGTCATGCTCTGATTGCCACTGGCCATTTGGTCCAGTGGTCATCACCATTAAAGGTGATGCTGGAGGTCAGGGGTTCAATCCCTGCCTCCCACAAATTTGTCACAATTTGAGGGGTTCAATCTCTGCCTCCCACAAATTTGTTACAATTTGTGACGGTCTTAATTGACCTTTATCGATGGAGTCTTGCGACAAAAAAGTCATGCTCTGATTCCAACATCTAAGCAACTTCATTTTCTTTCCAATGCAAGTCAATATTCTTAATAGTTAAAACCCCTTCCGTCTTCTTCTGCTTTAAAATTGGTTTTGAGCATTCTTGGCTCTGGTCAAAGCTGGACAAACAAGAACACGTGGCTCTTCCTTAGATTGGCAAGTGTGGTAAAGTGGAACAGAAAAAATGCAACACACACACACACACATATATATATATATATATATATATATATATATATATATATATAATGCAAGGACATGGTTGGATAATAAAAGAAAAAAAGAACTAACTTTTTTTTGTTTTTTCTTTTTCGGATTATATGGGAGTGTTTGGATAGCAAAAATATCTCAAATTACTTGCATCATAAACACATTTTTCAACCACCTTTTTTTATTTTCAATCATCTTTTTATCTCACATACATCACATCACAAAAAATACTATAATAATAATATTTCAAATAATATAATCCCTTTCTTGGCTATGGTCGAAGTTGGACAAATAAGAACATGTGGCCCTTCCTTTAGATAGGTAAGTGTTGTAAGAGGAACATAAAAAATGCAACATCTTCCCAAAAAAATATATACACACACGCACACGAGGACATGGCTTGATAATAATATGTTAGGTTAATATTTTTTTGAAGAAAAATATAAAGAGAATTAACTCTTTTTCATTTTTTTTAGATTCTATTGTTGATATGAATAATCACTTTCTTGATTATGATGGGAGCATGACATATAAGAATACGTGGCTCTTCCTTAGATAGGCAAGTGTTGCAAGAGAAACAGGAAAAATGCAACATCTTCCCCAAAATATACATACATATATATATATATATATATATATATATATATATATATATATGTGATGACTTGACAATAATCTCTCAGGTTAATATTTTTTCTGGAGAAAAAATATAAAATGGATTAACTCTTTTTTGCTTTTTCTTTTTTGGATTATATTGTTCATACGGATAATGACTTTCTTGCCTGCGTTACTGCGTATAGAGCTGTTAAGTGAATCGAGTAGCTCGAAAGCTCGTTAGAGCTCGACTCGTTAAGGCTCGAGCTTGGCTCGTTAATTTTGGTTAATGAGTCGAGTTCGAGCTCGAAACATGCTCGTTTAGTTAACGAGCCGAGTAAGCTCGGCTCGTTTGATACTCGAGTAGCTCGTTAGAGCTCGTTAATGAATGGCATATTTGTCATTTTAGAAATCAAAATTATAAAAATTAAAAATTATAGGTTTTTATTAAGGTTGATTTGCACGAGCTCGAGCTCGAGCTCGTGAAACTCGACTCGTTTGTGATAAACGAGTCAAGCTCGAGCTCGAGCTCGAGCCACATGTATATTTAACGAGCCGAGTTCGAACACATTTTAAAACTCGTTTTCCTAACGAGCTCGAGTAGAGTTCGGCTCGAATTAAACTCGAGTCGAGCTCGGCAGCCAAATACTCGGCTCGACTCGGCTCGATTAACAGCTCTAACTGCGTATAAGGTTTTCCCTTCGTTTCAATTTACTTCGCAGCAATGCTCTGAACACAGCCAACTGCCCTGCCATACTGCATTATTTGCCGATTGCCAATGATAGTCCATCCTTCAGGCAACTTGAGATCTCACTAAATTCAGTACTTACTGGTCTCCGCAAATGCAAGGTTAACCTTACCCAGACGTAATTTTTTTACAGGAATAATTTCAGAAATCTCCCTTGAGGTTTGTGGCAATTTCACTTAGCACCTTTAAACTTTAAAAAATCACTTGCCTTCCTTATTTTTAACTTTTTTGTAACATTGCCAACCCATTTCAAATATATTATTAAAAAAAACTCATTTGTAGGTAGATAATATAATTTCATTTCAGTATTGCCCTTCTCTTGTGAACCATTTTGTTGACATAACAAAACTAGTTAATCTCTTAACTTTTGAACACTTGGCCGATGTGATTTTTTAATTAGGAATTGCAAAGTGTTAACAAGGTTGAAAGACCTATTAATAATTTTCGTGTTAACAAGAAATATACTAAAAATTTAAAAATCAAAGTAATTTGGAAAATTCACAAAAGTTGCCTAAGAATTGTACAATGAAAATAATAGCAATTTTCACCTTGAAAACACCTCAAATATGTTTTTAAATTTATAGTTAAGAATTTTATCTTATTCAAGTTTTCAAGCCATTGATCTGGTCAAAGAATTATAAAATTCAAAAAAAATTGTACACAATTCTTAAATCCTTAATTTCATCCATAAACACTTCTGAATTAAAAACAATAATTTGTGATCTCTGAGAAAACCTCAAATGAGTTTGTGAACATAAATATTTTGCCTTTTTTATGATTTACAAGTCATCAATCTGGACAAGGAATTTAGAAAATTTTAAAAAAATTTAAAATTTTGAAAAGCTCCTCAAATTAACCAAAAGCACTTTATAATAAAGGAATAATCCTTTTTGACTTGAAAACACTTTGAATATAATATTAAAATAAATTTTTGGTACATTAAAATATCTAAGATTATACTGTATCAATCAAAATTTACACATTTGTACCGTTTGTTTTATTTTTAGCTTTTTATTACATGCTTTCAATTTTGGAAAAAAAAAAAAGAGTAAGCCAACAAAGGGCACATTTGGAATGAAAATATCTCCGCTATCCAAAAGATGAGTTTTTAAATATTATGTTTCATAATAAGTTGTCACTGTTACAAAAAGTTAAAAATAGGGAAGACAAATGATTTTTTTGAATTAAAGGGTGCCAAGTGAAAATTTTAGAAACATCAAGGGAGGTTTGTGCAATTATCCCTTTTCTAATGCATAAAAAAACTACGAAGATAAGGTAGCACTTTGATTCTCATCCGATGCCATTAAAAGGGGATGATCTATCAGAACATAAATTGGAAAACTTATGAACATGATTGTCTTTTTCTTCAGAGTTTGATTGCACATGAGTTTCCAAGTAAACTTGGAACGTGAACGATAAGAACATTGATCTATTATTAGGTACCATAACTTATCATCGAATTATCCATTTGGTATGTGAGGTCTCAAGTCTTCACCTGCGTGTGCTGCAATTGTGCATCACTAATCAAACAAATCGGCATCATTACTCGCAGTTCATGGGGTGCCCTGATGAGAGTTCTTACAGCACAAAAGAGTCAGCAACATTAACTACATTAACTGCAGTACAGCAATTCACTTCCAAAACTACCAATCTTGCAGGCCCTATACAGGTGGATCCATCTACCTCAAATATATAATGAAACAAAAGTAGTTAGAGAGTCAGTTTCCTTCCTCCAAAACTAAATGAACCATTGCTCTAGGGGCAAATTGCACATTCACTAAAATCTCTCGTGGCTTCAGAGAACTCACCACCACCACCACGCAAAGAGCCGTCAAGCATCACCATCATTTATAACAAGAAGAAGATAAATTAAAGATAGACAGAGGGAAGAGAGATCACTTGCACCAACCATCTTTGCACTCAACCGACAAGAAAAAAGATAAGAGCATCAAGTAGAAAGACTGTGAATAGCTCAAAAAGAAGGAATGTAAATAAAACAGGAGTTTCGACTCTGGAGTTTCTCTGCAGCACAAATAAAAAACCAGGCAAACAAAAAGAAGGGATTGCCAAGAAATCACGAAAGAACAAGAAGACAAGCTTTGCACGAGGCTTCATTAACAAATGGTTTGTCTAGATAGTGAAATTATTTCAAATAATATTTCGCTTGCATCATAAACATATTTTTTTACATATCTTTTTATATTTTCAACCACTTTTTTATCTCACATACATCACATCACAAAAAGTATTAGAGTAATTATTTCAAATAATACCCTATTCAAACAGTTAGATCTCGTACTAGCCACACTTTAAATCAACAAGTTGATTTCCTAATCAAACATCCAAACTCGAAAGCTAAAATACTATTATAATCAAGGTCGAAAAATGAATGAAAATTAATCCATTGCGTTAACCAATCCCAATCCATGCATTACCACCAATACCCAAACTCCTGAAAAAGAAAAGAAAAAAGGAAAATGTCAAGAGGATTAACTTTAGAGAGCGGTTTCATGCTTCTTTCAAACTTTAAATGCTCCTCTTGTTCTCATCCTCAACAGGAAACAACCCTGACCTGAGGACCCCCCTCCTTTCCCTACCCCTCCTTTGCCTTACGTCCTTTACTTAAGCCCCATTCCCAGCTCTCACTTTAACTCACTCCTCTGAACCTATCAAGAACACAACAACGACGACTACATGGCTCAAACTCCAAGCCCCATTCTCTCCTTCTTCTTAGTTCTCGCTTTCTTGCTTTCCTTTACCTCTGTATCGAATTCCATTCGTGATCATCAACACAACAGCTACCAAATTTTTGATGTTTCAGCCGTTATCCAAAAAACCCATCAAGTTTTCACTCAAACCCCACAAGCCCAGCAGGAAGAAGAAGCTAAGCCTACCATCACTGCCACCGCACAACATAACTCTTCGGTTCTCTCATTTTCACTGCACCCAAGGGCTTCCGTGAAAAATCCGCAGCACAAAGATTATTCTTACCTCACGCGCGCCCGTATCGCCCGTGACTCGGCCCAAGTTAACTCTCTCAACTCCAAGCTCGAGTTCGCTCTCTCCGGCTACACCCAAGCGGACCTCAAACCGGTTCCGACCGCCATCCAACCGGAGGACCTGGAGACGCCGTTAACTTCCGGGGTAAGTCAGGGAAGCGGAGAGTACTTTGCCCGTATGGGCGTGGGTCGACCCGGTAGATCATACTACATGGTTATCGACACCGGAAGCGACCTCAGCTGGCTCCAATGCCAGCCCTGCGCCGACTGCTACCAACAAACCGACCCAATATTCGACCCGAGTTCGTCATCGACTTACCGAACCGTTTCTTGCTCTGCCCAGGAATGCTCGGAGCTCCAGATTTCAGGGTGTAGTGGTGGGAAGTGTATTTATCAGATTAATTACGGGGATGGGTCCTACACGATGGGGGATTTAGCTACTGATACGGTGTCGTTTGGGAACACGGGTTCGGTCAGCGACGTACCCATCGGATGCGGGCATGATAATGTGGGCTTGTTTGTCGGCGCGGCTGGCTTAGTTGGACTGGCTCGAGCCCCTTTATCATTGCCTGGCCGACTGAGAGCGACGTCGTTTTCTTACTGTTTAGTGAACCGCGACTCCAGCTCGTCTTCGACTCTGGATTTTAACTCAGCCCCACCCGGTGACTCAGTCTTTGCTTCGATGGTTAGAAACCCGAAACTTGATCTATTTTATTACGTGGACATGGTCGGAATAAATGTCGGCGGCGAGACCCTATCGATTCCGGCGTCGGTTTTCCAGGTGGACGGAAATGGGCGCGGAGGAATTATAGTTGACTCGGGAACGGCTGTGACTCGGTTGAATACACAGGCGTATAACGCGCTGCGCGATGCGTTTAAGAAGTACGCATCAGATTTGCCTTCGTCCAGTGGGTTCTCTTTGTTCGACACGTGTTATGATTTTTCATCTGTCGGCGGTTCGGTAAGGGTTCCAACGGTGTCGTTTTTGCTCGCCAGTGGGAAGAGGCTGTTATTGAAGCCGAGTAATTACTTGGTGCCGGTTGATGGGCGGGGGAAATTTTGTTTGGCATTTGCTCCGACGAGTTCACTGTCTATTATCGGTAATGTGCAGCAGCAAGGGACACGTGTCAGTTTCGACCTGGCTAACAGGCAGTTTGGTTTTAGCCCCAATAAATGTTAGTAGCACATTTGGTGCAAATATTTAGTGTTTAAATTTCAATCGTAATTATAAGCTGGTAATTGCAGATTTAAGGTTTACCCAAAAAAAAAAAGAAAAAAAGAAAAAGCTTTCCAGAATTAAAGTTGGAAACTGTGAGGAGTGGGGAGGAGTATACATACTTTAATTGTTAGTATGGGTGGACATTAATTGTGTGTAAATGTTGATGGACCAGTGGTGGATGGAAATGGTCCCACCATTTCCACCTATGAAATTAATACTGCAAGTTATAAATTTTGTAGTTCCTCGCCTCAGTAGTAGTTGCTTGATTTGCAAATGCACAAAAGATCTAAAATTTGATTGCAGAAGAGAAATTGCTTTTGTTGTTCAAATTAGAGAAAGAATACACATGAGAATAGATTTCCAACATTTACACCATTCACTTGTTTTGGCCTAAGCTTACCGTAATCTTCATGCTACTTGAAAAATCTCTTTTCCCTCCCTCGTGCTCATAAAAATTACTAATGCACTGTTGAGATTTCGGACCTCTTAAGCAAAAGAATCAAAATGGAAGAAAAAATAATAATAATAAAGCTTTCCCTCAACTTTGAGATTGTGCCATTATTATTATTATTATTATAATTCTCCATCCTTGTAATAGATTCTGTGACACATCAAAGACTAGTGCGATTATGCCATTTTTTATTTTTTTTTTTTCAATGGTAGAATTCTTATAACCTAATTTAACCTAATCTAGAAGAAAGGGAGGGGGACTCAATGTGAGTCGAGATCCCATCGAAGAAAGCTAATTAAGTCTGCCACATAAAGTGGCAGTTAGTGGGAGGTCAAGGGTCTCTACCAAAACTGGTGGTGACTCTGGTGACCACCAGGCCTACAACTTTTGCTTTGCTAATCTCTAATATGGACACAGGACAGTGATGGAAAAAGAAGACGAGGACTTCTGATAACCATATATATATATATATATATATATAGATTTTTGTACACAATATTGTATTATTGTGAACGCCACAGCAACTTGGTACAATGAATTGCATTCATGCATTTAGCTTTTCTTTCGAGATGTTTGTATTAGTGTTTGTGAGGGAGAGTTCACATGAATTGATAGCGATGCATTACCTAAAAACAAACATTCCTATGATGTTCAAAATCTGTAGCAAGATTGGTGAGTATGTGGATGTCGTTATTATTCCCCAATACTCCCAGCATACACTATAATCATTGATCAAAGGTACCTGTTCAGTACTATAGCTTTGTAGTGGAAGGCAAATGATTCAATGTACTCTTTTTGTCTGTGTCACCTTTCTGTTTTGATCATATCCCATAACTTTTGATCGCCCAGAATGGCGCCAAGAAAACAATAATCTTTCCACCTCAATTGCCACGTGCACAAGATTCAAACTCTGAACCGGACAGACAGCAGGAAAAACTCTAAGAGCCCTTTTCTTTTCTGACCATTGGACAAACTCCATTGATTAGTTGGTATGGTTATTTCACTTTAAAGCAGGGAAAAGAAAGAAAAGGAAAGAACGAAATGACTTGAAAAAGTGATGCGAACTTGGTACCGGAGGCTTCGTATACTTGGTTGCAGAATTTGTCTGCAACAGAATCTAGTGAGCTGTGATTAACAGAACAGAAAAGGAGAACAGCATATTTTCTTTACTGACTGGCAAATCTTGATTGGTTATTAATCTGCAGAACATTTCTCAGTATATGAAAAATCATTGAATCTATCAAATTACACATAGAGACAGGATAAAGGGAGCGACTGATTAAGAATAAGAATTTGCAGGTTATGAAAATGCTTTCTTGGCTGAGAGAGAGAGAGAGAAGCTATTGTCATATTGCTTATTTATCAACCTGCAAACCTGTGCATGTGAGGGTTACGCAAGTGTTGTTATCACCGAAGGTGGATGGATGCCCATTTATTTCTGTTCTGTTCATATATGACATGACTCGTCTAATGGCTGTCCCTTTCTTCGTTGCTTTCACTACTACTGTATTTTTAGTGAACTAATGGGACCTAAAATTTAGAGATTGAATTATTGGGGATGCATCCCCTAAATCCCACTCCACTATTTAAAACCAATAAAATGATTTTGAAGCATTAACCAATTAAATGATGCCCAGTACTAGTAGGACCTGCTTTCTTTGTTGTTCTGGGAGTGCATTATTTTGATGTAAGAGCTTGATTCCTTGATCACTCCTTTTCTTCTCTCTCTCTTTTTTTTTTTTCACAGATTCGAATCACATAAATTCCTATGCTTCCCTTAAAAGAATGAAACTATTTATGTAGACTTGATGGGGTCGATAGAGACTAAATTTGAAAAGAATAAAGTAAATGTTTATGGCTTTATGGGTAGTAATAATCTCACTAGAGCTTCTTAAGCAGATCGAGAAAGGAAGAATGAGAAAATTAAAGACTTGTTTTATGACAAAAAAAAACTCTAAGCTAGGTTGTATTATATAGTCTTTTGCTTCCGAACCCAAAAAAATAAAAAGAAAAAGAAAAGAAAAGATTGTCAGTTTCAAATCTGAGCCACCAGCCATTTCCGAAGGGGGAAATCAAAAAAATTAAATAGGTCACATACTTCTTTGTTCCTCTTAGCTTAATTTAGTGGATCAGGAAGAGTGGCAAGAAGGTCGCATGTTCCTCTGAAATTAATGAAAGTAGTCAAAGTACACTTAGTACTGATACGTAAAAAAACTCCTTGTACTAGGCTTTAGCTTCCCTAAATGGAATTGACAAAGAACGTTGAGATTTTTCAGCTATTTTCCCCTGGTTGATTATCATTTTCTGAGCATTCCATCTAACTTAACACAAAGATAGAGAGAGAGAGAGAGAGAGAGAGAGAAGATTCCGCTGTCAATTTTCTTTCTTCCGGATTGGGGTGCTTGGGTGATTTGCTGCCCACCACTCATGCAACTGGGTCCAACTTGATTGTGAAACCTAAAAAATTTAATATTTGGGTTAATTACAATTAATCCCCTTAAGGTTTATCTCACTTTTCATTTTGTCCCTAAACTTTTATTTTTATCATTTAACCCTCTAATGGACAAAATCAACCTTTTGTTATTTTGATTTTTGATTTTTGATTTTCCTTTTTTTCCCCTCCTTTATTTGTTTTTCTGTTTTTTCTTTCTTTTCTCCTCCCTCCTTCTCAACCGAAAAGTTTATTTTATCTAAGGAGCACAAACCCGTCACATAGTTACCTCATCTTATTGATGACCATTTATTGCCATTTGTATGAGTAGATAACTTCTCCACCATTCTACTGCCTAATTCCCTTCTCCCCAAAATCCACATTTCGATCTTTTCGTATGATGCCATGAGTTGTAAATTGCAATTAATGATCATTAATTAGGTCATAAATTTATCTTGTGATGGTTTCTTGAGAATAAAATGAAAAGCTAGGATAGGAAGTAAAAAAAGCAAAAGAATTGAAGGTTCAAAAAATAGTGTCTTGAGGAAGGGGTATGAATATTTTGTGATCATTCGAAGAGGAGATAAATCTCTACAATTTCTCTTTTTTAGCTTCAATCACTGCGATGAGACTTCTTGTGAAAAAGCGAAAGAAGTAAAGAAAGAAGAAAGAGATAGAGAAAACAAAGGAGGAAAAAGGGGAAAGAAAAAATACAAAAGAGAGAAAAAAAATAAGAATTTAGAATAATAGAAAGGTTATTTTGTCCAATAGAAGTTAAAGTGAAACAGGAAAAATGTTAGAGAGCAAAGTGAAAAATATCCATGTTGTCGTGCATGAATAAGTAAGTATATTTGATTGTCTTTGTTTAACTTCCGTAAATATCTGATTAGTAAAGGAAATCAAGATTATCACCCATCAAGATGATGATTGACAAATGCATGCACGTTATATCGAGGATAAATCATGTATTGCTTTTGTTCTTCTACTACACAAGTATTGGAAAAAGAGAAAGTGCAATTGAAAGTCGGAAGTCAAAGTTTCACACGTTAAAATCTAAAATGTGAGATGCACATCATGGAAGTTGTTTTATATGAAAATGCAAGCTTGCTTTTTGTGACGCACATCATGTAAGCTTGTCTTTCATGATTCTGAATTTTGTACTTGATGCGACTGCCAAAAATCGCGATCCGAGCTGAGCTGCTACGAGCCGATTTGACTGAGAACGACCGAGCTGATAGAAGGTGAACGAACTGACCGACTTGCAAAGGGAGAAATGACGGGGCTTGGTTCCCCGGAATAATTCTGACGATCAAGTCAGCAAGAGCCGGAGAATAAAACTACAATGCAGAATACCGTAGATAGCCTACCTTGTGTCATCTTGTGGTGCTATATTTATAGGTTTTAGGGTGATAGTTTCCTTATAGGACTACGAGTCCTAGTCAAGGAGGAGTCTTTCTAGGGTTTCGCCCGCTAACTCCTAAAGGCTTGGGGGTTACGGCCCACTAAGCCCATCTGGCTAACTGGCGGCGGCCACGGCTAAGCTGACGCCTCTAACATCCGAACTGACTTGCCCGAGCTGCCATGCTGATACATCCGAACTAACACGTGGCCATAGATTGGCCCCCTACAGTACTTATTTTATTTCTTTCACTTTATCATAATTCTTATCGATGGAGAAAAAATTGTACTTACAAAAACTTTGAAAGAAAAAAGTTTGTTTCTCCTTTTTTTTTATTTGTCTATAAAACAATCAACATATATATATATATATATATATATATATATATATCAAAGAAAATCTTCCGATCAAGTGGACAGGTTTTTCGATATAAGACGTGGAGACACTGTATTGAAAAAAATTTTATGAACAACATATTAACCTGTCCAATTATACTGTTAGCTTACCAACTTCTTACAACCCTTTGTGCGATCATTCTTGCTGCAGAAATTATCTTCAATCTGCGGAGTTTGCATTCACCAAATTAGGACACTCTGGTCCATAACACGCAAAAAAAAAAAGTATTGTGGTAGAATGATATTAAATTTATCGTAATCTTGGGAAATTTTCAAAGATAATAAACTCCCTTGGATTATTATGGCATTCCAAATTGTACATTTGCCAATCGAAATATCCACCACTAAGGAAAGATGACAAATGTTGGGGCACCGGGGATCATGGCGGACCAACGCTTTTGGTTTGGACATCGCGTCAGTTCGTTATCCCCTTCAGATTACTTGGCCCGAAGTTCACATTACTTTTTCAAGTCCACTTGTCGGAATGTCAAGAAGTACCAGTACAAAGTTAGTGCAAGCACGGTCATATCATTCTTTTCTGATTTGATGATGAATGTTGCTCTCTGATTAT